GTACTTTTTTTGCGTTTTTAACAATTCTGTGTTTGCAACGGGCAAAACAGGTTTTTAGCTCTATATCTATAATGTGACGGATTTAAATTGTATTTAATTTAACTGAGCGTGTTGTTGGATATCGTACTAGAAATACCAGCATGCATGTGTTTGAATATCAAATGCGTAGTATAATCTATGTGACATTCGATCGGAACATCCAGGAACTCGAAAACTGCATTTCGAGCTCAGTTCGAGCTTGCATCGAGTTGGCAGGTGTCCTGCATCTATATATACTTCCAGAGCTATGAACATTCCAGCTATTGTGCATGGTTGGCCAATCTTGGCAATTTAACCTGTACATTTCTATATCTTCACCAAAGTAGTCCGACGTTGGATAAGTAAGTGGCGCGGTGATGGTAACATTGTCATAATGTATCTTGACGATGTTCTTGGTGCTGGAGCTATCTTGAAGTCTCCTATGTGTACTACCGATGCAGGGAGGGGTGACTTAAAACGTTTTGGTGTTGTTGCTCACGAACAGAAGTCTGAATGATCCCCAGTGCTCAACATGGAACAAAGTATGATTTTAATTATGGAAGAGTGACTTGGTCGTTATCGTTTAGCTATCGGTAAGGCAACTATTGGGAGTGAAATTGTCCTTACTGAATATGTACAAACTAAAGAGGTAGCCCATATTACGGGCTAGATAATAACTTTACGAGTTCGTGTAGGCAATATTGTCTTGGTCATATCATGTACACAAAAGGAGTAAAAGCGTACTGACGATTGCCCCAAATATATTTGTGTGCGCTATAGTATTTCCCTGAAATTAGACTGGATCCCAAGGAAAGCAACATTAAACATTAAACATTAAACTTCGACAGGTCCAAAACAAGCGATCCAACAATACACATGATATGTTAAAATTGTGTCAGAAAACGGATGACGAAGATTAGACTTTTTGTTGCCAATGATTTGGGTAAATTGTCACCAATTGATATTACTCATGTTGATGTCTAATGAGATCAGAAGTATTTCAGTTGAAAGAATCGGTTCTACGATCTCAATCAAAGGTAAATTCGAATTAGTACAAGAAGTTAAAAATCTGCGCAACGAAATGAATTTCATAAAAAATGTTTTGAAAATCAGGATAGACGGGCCGGGCCTCCAAGAATACAGTCTAAGGACTGTGGGAATTTGCGTGAAAAGGTATTGAAAGACGGGAAGCAAGACAAGGGTGATAATCAGACCATATATGCATATATTTTATGTGTACTAGCATGAGTAGGAATGTAACACCTTTTAATAAAGATAGGGGCTTCAAAACTGTGACGCCGCATGCTGCCGAGGTAGTCATGAATAGTCACTTGTTCGTAATGACAGTGGCTTCACAATAGTCACAAGCCGGCGACGAAGGCACCCTCAGCCGACTGTTCGAACAGCCAGTGAGCAAGAGTCATGCGCCATCACAGCGGTTCATAATAGGTTAGTGATCGTAGTACGCAAAAGGAGTACTCATTCAGGTAACGAAGTAACGAATTTACTATTATCAATAAGTATTTCTGATTTCCTAAACACTGCTTTGATTGTGACTTTTATCTTGTAAGCACGATAAAAATATTTTTAGATTGAGAGACTTTATTTTCAGCTTGCATAGCCGCCATGTAGGAAGGTTGGGTTCATTGCTATCGTATCTGGATGCCTTCAATGACCTGATGCTAATGTACTTTTTTTGCCTAATCAAGTGTCTTATTTGACACTAAAGATCGTAAGCTTGATTTTTTGGGGGGAATAAAACTAACCATTTTCTGCTACTTCATGCTACCTAAATTGGGTTTTCGTGTTGTCGTGCAATGCTGATGCTATAACAAATGTCCATTACTCAGTAAAGTACCGAAATGAAACAACTGTGTATCAGGATCGTCCTCTCATTCCGATATATTATAAATTTGTTACCCATGATTCGTTTTACAATAATTCACGCATTTGGTATGGTTCAGCAAAAATGTGCAAGAAATGGCTCATTCTCTTTTGATGAAGTGTGATGGTACAGTTTCACTTCACTCTCACTACAGTTTCAGAATGTTAAATTGCCGAAAAAATCGACGATAAGGATCAATTTCACTTCAGTTTAACTAAAACAACAGATACCCACAGTATAAGTGTGACGTTTGGCATTACTCAAGCACTTTAACTCAGGCATTTTGGCATTGGTTTCATATTGTGAGATTATGAGCATTTGTGTATAATAAAGACTGTCAACAACGTGCTTTAAACGGTCAACTGGATATTTTGCATGTAGCATATATGGCCATAGCTTCTTACGGAAAATATATAATAATTATTATTGTATTAGTCACGTAGTTTGGTCACCGTCTTAGATTTTCGTTAAAATGGCAAACATTTGAAGAATTTGTTTCTTGGGATTGTTTTAACCAATCAACTTGATGTTTGGCATGTAGCATATATCGCTCCTGTTTCATCCAAAAAATATCAGTCACATAGTATTTTCGGCGAAAACGAACACAAGTTTCTCATTAATGCTTTAACTGATCAATTTGATATTCTACGTGTAGCATGTATGACTAAAGCATCATATCTGAA